GACCCCTGCGTTCTCTTGCACAGCTGTGCTCTAGCGCTCGGACACCTTCCTGGTCACTCCTCGTTCGCTCGTCGTTCGTTGTCATCTTGCGTCCTTGGCTCCCCCCGCCCGCCCCTGGCCCCTGCCCCCCCAACCCCCGCTGGCCCCAGGGACCGTTCTGGCCCCTGGCCCCTCTGGCTCAAAGGCCCCTCCCCCTGGCCGGTCCCTTCTCCCCAACCCGTCCTCGGCCGCTGCTGTCCTGGCACCTGGCCCCAGAGCGCGGACCCCTTGATCTCCGTACCCATGTCTCCCGCATCGTAGCTCCAAAAAGGCTCCAGCATGGCCCCGAGAGAACCCCACTCCTTACCCCTGCTCATCGTGTCTATCGCCTCCACCTCGTGCAACAATCAGGGCATGCGTGCAAATTGCTAGATTTCTCAACCATGTTGGGTTCTCGTTTTGAAGAAACGGTCCCCACGTCTCCTCCACTCCTCTCCTCCTCTTCCCGCTCCTCCCTCCTCACCCTCTCACTTTGGCACGCCCGTCACAGCCGTCATCATCACTATCATCGTCATCATCACCATCATCGACACCCATGTTGATTTTGGCACACCCTTCACACGTTACGTGGCCCCACAGGGAGCTCCACCTAAGATCCCGATGCCGACGTCCGCATGTCGGCGCCGCCCCATTTCGGCATACCCCTCACACGTTTCGCGGCACCATAGGGAGCTCCACCCAAAGTCCCAGTGGCGCCGTCCACATAGCGGCGTCGCCCCATTTCGGTACACCCCTTCACATTTTTCGTGGTTCCGTAAGGAACTCCACAAAAGTCCAGATGCCAGCGCTCGCATGCGCCCACCGCGCCCATTTTGGCACAACCTTCACACGCTTCGTGGCACCGCATTGAGCTTTACCAAAGGCCCAGAAGGCCCAGCGCTCGCATGCGCCCACCGCGCCCATTTTGGCACGCCCCTCACACGTTTTGTGGCCCCATAGGGGGCCCAGATGCCAGCGCTCGCATGCGCCCACCGCGCCCATTCAGGCACACCCCTCATACGTTTCGTGACCACGAATGGAGCTCCACCGAAGGCCCACATGCCAGCGCTCGCAGGCGCCCGCCGCGCCAATTTTGGAACACCCCGTAATCGCTTCGCGGCTCCGCAGGGAACCCTGCCGAATGCCCGAGTGCCAGTGCTCGCATGCGCCCGCCCCGCCCATTTTGGCACGCCCCTCGCACGCCTCGTGGCCCCAGGAAGCCCCAGCGAAGGCCCAAATGCCAGCGCTCGCATCCGCCCACCGCACCCATTTTGGCACACCCTTCACACGTTTCGTGGAGCTCCACTGAAGGCAGTGCATACAACGACGGTGCCCACAACTGCATATGGTTGGTTACTTCGCCAGATTAATGGTTGTCCCCATCCATCCTGTGATGTTGGGTCTCCGTTTGGAATCCGCACCGCCGAACTCCACCTCACCTTCCTTCCTTTCGTCCGTCCGTCCGTCCTTCCTTCCGTCCTTCTTTCCTTCCTCCTCCTCCGCCTCCTCCTCCTCGTCGTCATCGACGACTTGCTAAGGCCAGCACGCGTGTCCACTCCCATGTCGCCACACCCCTCACACGCCTCGTGGCCCCATAGGGAACTTAGCCAACGGATTCAGCGGGCGCGACCGCATGAGGGGCCGAATTGGCAGCTACACCTAAGGTCTCGGTGGGCGCGACCCCCTGCCCCCTCCCGTGGGCCTGGACGGGGCGCGCCGCGAGGCGTTAGAGCGTCCAAGATTGCCCACGATTGTTTTAAGAGGGCTTCGAAGTCGCAAGATGGCCCATGCTACTTCAAAATGGGTCAAGATAGCCTCAGGCATACCCCCAAGAGGCCCCAAGACAGCCCCAAAATGGATCCAAGTGCTCTTCGAACCCCCCACGGCGCTCTCCAAGATGCCAAAACCGTTCAAAACACCAAGGGGCAATCAATGTGTTTGGCAGTATCGTCTTTTCGCTTCCGATGGGCTTTGGAAGCCTCAAGATGGCCCCAAATTGGCCCAAAACAGGCCCAAGAGGGGCCCAAGAAGGCCGAAAACGGCCCAACGATCGCCCAAGAGGCGCCCAAGAGCGCTCCAAGAGGGCCCCAAGATGCCGTTTGAGAGCCTCCAAAGGGGGGGCCCGAATTTCTGCCCCACCTCTTTTTTGAGCCATGGTGCCCAAGACGGCCCCAAGAGGCGTCCCTGACACCCCAAAAAGCCCCAAGAGGGCTCCAAGACCCCCCCCAAGAGATCCTCAAGAGGGCCCCAAAAAGGCCTCAAGACAGCCTCAAGGTGGCCCAAGATAGCCGAGCGTGGCTCAATATAGCCTCCGACAGCCTCTAGCCGAGCATGGCTCAAGATAGCATCCAAAGAGGCCTCAGGAAAACTGGCAATCAATTCTGGATGGGCTGGTGAAGATTTGTTTTTTGGTCTGCGGCCGCGCGACAACGGTCTGGCGGCGAGAGGCAACGTCCGGGGCGGGCGGCACAAAACGAATTGGCGACCCCAAGCGCCACGTTGCCAGGCCAGATCGCACCTGCACAACGAGCGTGCAGTTGCACATGCACTGAACACAATGCTCTGCATGCACCAGCAGACGCACCTAACCCCGCCCAGTATACCAAAGTGTACAAACGGCCGCGGGTGCGAGTGTAACGGAGAGAGTCGCCCGTGCGGCGCCAAACTCCAAGCAGCCAGCCCGGCGAGCTAAGAAGCACGAGCCCGGAAGACAGCCGGCCGGCGGTGGAAAACAATAGGCAAAAGACGCGGAAGGCTGAACCACTCAGCGCGCAACCCTCGAACTCCACCGCTGAGTTGAGGGGGCCAGCGGCAACCATCGCGAGTCCGGCGCCTGCGTCGAATGGCCCGGAATGGATGCGACGATGCGTTAAACGCGGGCTGTACCAGGCTGCAACACTCAAAGCGAGGCCTTCGGGCACACAACCCCCAGTGCCGGTGGACACCAGCGACTGCCCGAACACGACAGTGCCGTCCTGCTGCGGAGAGCTGGTGGGGATACGCGAGGCGTCAAGAATTGGCAGCTACACTTAAGGTCTCGGTGGGCGCGACCGTATGGGATGTGTGCCAGTTAATTTCGGGAAACCCTCACGTTTCGTAGCCCGAGAGGGAGCTCCACCTGCGGTACCAGCGGGCGCGACTGAATGGGGGGTCCCCGCTCATTCCTGCATATCCCTCACAAGTGTGGGCGCTTCCAAGAAGCGAGGGGCGGCGGTGGTTCGCCGCAGGCATCTTCCATACAAATAACACAAATACGTAGCACCCCGCAATTGCGGATAAGGGTGAGGGGGCGGGCGCGGGCGACGCGGGCGTCGTCGAGCCGGCGGACCTCGTGGCCCCCACCTTCCTTGTCGATGGCGCTCTCCTCCACCTCCTCCTCCTCCTCCTCTCCTCCTCCTCCTTCTCCTCCTCCTCTTCCTCGTCCTCATCGTCATCGTCATCCTCCTCCTCCACCTCGTCCTCCTCCTCCTCCTCCTCCTCTTCTTCCTCGTCCTCCCTCTCCCCCCCTCGTCTTTTCATCATGGTCCTCCCATTGTCGTCCTCCCCCTCATCGGCCTCCATCATCGTCCTCCCATTGTCGTCCATCATCATCATCCTCCCCATCCTCCCCCTCCTCGTCCTCCTCCTCCCCCTCCTCCCCCTCGTCCTCCTGCTCCTCCTCCTTTTCTTTCTCCACGTTCTCCTTACATCCTCTCTTCTTCCACGTTCTCCTCGTCCCCTGTTTACTCATCCTGCCGCCCCCTCCTTTCCCAAGATAGCTGCAACGCAATCCTTTTGTCCACTTTATGCTCCCCGCCTTCTCTGATCAAGGCAACTCGCCAGGGCAAAGTTGCTGGACGGGCTGGCGTGGATGTGCGGGGCGTGAAGAGGTCCTTGCGGGCTCAGACGGCATGCAAGAATCCGCCGCCGCGCTTGTGCGGCATTGGTTTGTTCAGTGAATGTGGTTTAGGTCGCGGGTGGGTCGCGGACTCTCCACCTCCACCTGGAAGGAATGCAAAAACAGCCCGCCGCAAGCGCCAAAAAAATTTGTTCGTACACGGAACGAGGTTTGGGTCGCGGGTGGGCCGCGGGTTCTCCACAGGGAACGAATGCAAAGGATGCCCGCCGCAGGCGCCGAAAATGTGGTTTGTACCCTGAACGTGGTCGCGGGTGGGCCGCGGGCTCTCCACCTGAAACGAATGCAAAATATGCCCGCCGCAGGCGCCGAAAAATGTGGTTTGTACCCTAACGTGGTTTGGGCCGCGGGTTGGTCGCGAGTTGGTCACGGGATGTGTCGCGGGCTCTCCACCTGGAAGGAGGAAGGAATGCAAAAAAACCCGCCGCAGGCGCCGAAATTGTGGTTTGTACCTTGAACGAGGTTTGGGTCGAAGGTGGGTCGCGGGTGGGTCGCGGGGTAGGTCGCGGGTGGGTCGCGGGTGGGTCGCGGGTGGGTCGCGGGTGGGTCGCGGGTGGGTCGCGGGGTGGGCCGCGGGGGGGTCGCGGGGTGGGTCGCGGGTTGGGTCGCGGGGTGGGTCGCGGGGTGGGTCGCGGGGTGGGTCGCGGGGTGGGTCGCGGGTGGGTCGCGGGTGGGTCGCGGGTGGGTCGCGGGGTGGGTCGCGGGGTGGGTCGCGGGTGGGTCGCGGGGCGGGTTGCGGGTGGGACGACGACAACAAACAACAACAACAACACAACAACAACAACAACAACAACAACAACAAGAATCCGCACCGCGGAATTCCACATCAGCCACGCACCCAGGGACAGTGAATGACCGTTCGGCCCCCTCACTCTGATTCTGTGCATGTGCAATATCGAAGTTCCCTTCTCTTTAAACTACTCTGGGATATTTGTCGGCCTGCCATCGTTCGCTCCTCGGATCGATCACGGCCTCTTCAAGGTCGGCGGAATCGCCCGTGAGGCCCCTTCAATCTAGCCGTGGCGACGAGGATCCTCGCCTGAGGGCATCGGCATGAGATATTGGTGTGAGTCTCTTCTCTGAGCTCCTGCACATTCTTGCCCGGCAGAACCACTTGAAGCAGGTTCAGCGAGAAGCCGAAGATGAGGTTCATGAGCACCCACCACCAGCAGTCGGGGCGCAGCGAGCCGAAGCAGAACCTGTTGAAGCATATTGTGCTGTCCTTCCCGCCCCATGCTGTCCGGCGCATGCTAACATGGATTAGGGATCCGTCGATACGGCGCGTGGGCGGATCCACGGGTCGGTCAAATACTCCCGAAACGCGAGGCGAGCGCCCTCTTATTGAGCGACCGAACGCGCCGATTTCGTATCGAAACTGCACCTGTCGCTGATCCACGCTGGCTTAAACCATGTTTTTGTTTCCTCGACATGCTGCGTGCACTCGGCACCGCCCGTCCATGACCGCCGCCTGCCCGCCTGGTGCGCTGGTCGCACTTCCGCGTGCCCGCCCTGGAGCACGCCCAGTGCGCGTCGACTGCCTGCCCCCGATGCATTGCACAACACAAATGTTCGGGGTCCACGCTGACAAACACAGGTAGGTGTGTGTGTGTGTGTGAAACTTTATGGGTATATCTATGTATACACACACCAATTTTCAAGCCAGAGCAGAGCCGGTACTTGGCCCCGAAGTTGGCCGTCGTCGCCGCCCTGCGAGGCGCCGTCCAGACTACCCATGCAACGTAGGAGATCGTGGTGACGCCATACAGGATGGTAGTCACCAGATTGATGGGCGCCGCGGTCCACCAGTCGTCGGAGGAGAACTCCAGCTCTGGGTAAGCCCTCACCATCTCTAAGCCATTGGGCATCGTGATCTTGTAGAACAGCGACATCGAGAGAGACGTCAGAGAAATGAACATCTTGGTGAACACCAGCCCGACAATGTTGTGGACGAAGTGGAACTGCATGGAGCTCCTGAACATCTTATAAATTGACTGCAAAAGAAGGAAATCAACAAATATCAGGAGCGGGCTAACGCCCTCCTGTACCAAGTCGACCAGAAAACCATTGCCAACGTAACACTCGATGTTGAAAGAGAAGAAACCCCGGATACCAGGCAGCGTGAACAAGTTGATCGTTTGCCAAAAATTCTGCAAGGTTGAAGGCCAATCAAGATCCAACTTGCTCAAAGTCTGCAGCTGCTGCAAGAAATTGATGAGCGCTCCGAATGTGATTGCACCTGAAGGGTTCGGGATGTTGAAGCGCTTATACATGTAGAATACCATGACCAGCTGAAATATGAATGATGCCGCAGCCTTGAGCCATGTAATGGGCTCGCCTCCGTCCTCGCACTCTTCGCACACGTCACCGACCAGAACCGTGCCGGTCCGACATCTGGAGCAGCGAGCCTTCTCGAGGTCGAAATTCGTCGCGCATATGTCGGCAGACCTCACCAAGCGCTTCCCTGCGCACCTTTTCATCTTGTTTCCAGAACAGGTGTAGACGCTGTACGGCTCATCAGGGAGTGTCATGTATCCCTGCTGGACACTGACGCTCAGATCCCATTCGTGCCAGCCGTGAGGATGCCCGCCTGGGCACAGGAGAAACTCATGCCCATCGCCGTCGCACTTGATACACCCGCCGACGCTCTTGTCGTAGAAGGAACCCACAGGGCACACGCACGTGCTCAGATCATTGCTGGTGTTCGGCGGCGCCACAAACGACACGCCTTTGCTGGCGCCTGACGGCGCGCCAGGGCAGTCCAGGCAGCTGGTGGCGCCAGCCTCGGGCGTGTAGGAGTTGGCGTAGCAGGCGTCGCACGCGGCCGCCCCAAAGATCCCGCTGAAGGTGCCCAGGCCGCACACCTCGCAAGCCGTCTTCCCGAACTCGCTCTGGAAACTGCCCGGCTCGCACTCCGCGCATGCGCTCTGGCCTGAGGCGTTCGTGAACCTGCCGGGCGGACACAGGTCGCAGCCGTCCAGGCTGATCATGCCAACCCGGGGCGAGAACGTCCCCGGTTCGCACACGCGCATGAAGCACGCGACATAGGGCTTGTAGCACCCCGGCGCAGGGTTCGGCCACGGGTAGCTCATGTCCCCAACGCACCCAGGATCGTGGAATTCTTGGCTGCCGCACTGCGCGCAGGCCTGCAGGAACCCCGCGTCGTACTGGTTCCGCAGGTCCCTCACGAAGTCGTCCGACGCGACAGAGTCGTTGCACGTCGTCATCATCGACGTGTACTTGTCACACATGCGCTCCATCGAGAAATCCGCCGACGTGCCCCCTGGCACGATGAGGCGTGGAAGGCTGCCAAGCGCTGCCTGGTAGGGTGTCTGTATTCTAATGACCCCGCCAGCATGCATCGGCCCCCCGTCCCGAAGCGCTCTGGGCTGCCCGGCGCCTCCATGGCGCTCTACAAAGCGTCCATAACGTCCAATCTGGAATTCAAAGCGGCCTGGGGCATGCAACCACGGCAACCAAGATGGGACAAAATACCTCGAAAACGGCACCAAGACGGCCCCCAACACACTCCCATACCGGCAAGAGGACGCCACGACGGCCCAAAGGAGCCCCCAAAATGCCTAAGAGGGCCCCAAGACGGCCCCAAGAGACCCGCAAGACTGCTCCTCAGGAGGCCAGGACAGCCCCAAGACGGCTCGAAGGAGTTCCACAAGAGCTCCTCAACAAGTGAAGACGAACGGTGTCACAAGTGAAGGCACTCCCCTTCATCCTCCTTATCCTCCTCCTCCTGCTCCTTCTTATGCTCCTGCTCCTGCTCCTGCTCCTGCTCCTCCTCCTCCTCCTCCTCCTCCTCCTCCTCGTCAGCATCATCATCATCATCATCATCATCATCATCATCATCATCATCATCATCATCATCATCATCATCATCATCATCATCATCATCGCACTCATCATCCTCAGAATCCTCATCACGGCTTCCTCAAGCCTGGGGACACGAGGTGTCACACATGACATCCTCCCGTGCCCCACTCGAACAATCGCTACCCAGAATGCTGGGCTTGCACAGTGGCGGGACTTGCCGCAGGCAGCTGGATACACCTGGTTGTCTGTAAACTCTGTTTCAGCCAAGACGAGCGGGCCTGTCGTCAAGTTATTCAAAGAGCTCCGAAGGTTGGACTCCATTGACCAGCTCCCGTTGCTGATGGACCCGTCTCCGATAGAGCTGTTCAAGCCCTGGACCTCGTCTGAGATGTTCTCGTCCAGGGGAGCCCCTAGCAACATCACGACACGGTTGAGGGCGGGGCAGTAGGTAAAACCGTCTACCCACAAATTGGTCGCCAACCGTCGCCCTTTATCATACGAACCGTTGCTAAGCGAGGACTCCAGCCGGCGTCCACCAGCCGCAGCCGTCAAGACCTCGCTCGCCATCACGCTCTCGAAGGTTGCGCGACGGCTGGCGTTCGTAATGATGTCGTCGAAATCGATCTGGTCGATTATCATGGACAGCGGGCTGACCTGGTCGGTGCAGCAGTAGCTCTCCCACAGCGCCCGGGCCTGGTCGCACACTAGCGGCACCCAGGAGGCCTCCAGCGCCTGCCTCAGCTGCAGGCAAGTGAAGTTGGATCCTGGGGGCACGGCCGTCGGGTGGAGGTGGCGATGTGATGCTCCTTCTTGACGCACTGCGGTCCCCAACCCGGCTGCGAACTTTTCAGGCAAGGCGACTTGACACAACGGGACACGACGGGGCCAAATTTGGCAAAAACAAAACACCACGGGGCCAAAATTGGCACCACTTGACACTACGGGTAGCCGAGGGATACCATGGAGCAAAATTGGGCACAACAGGAGCGGGAGAGGCGCGAAGGGGGCGGAGCATCCGCAGAGCATGAAATTCTTGCGCGCGTGTGCTGGGGTACTCATACGGACACCAGCCTGGCTGCAAACTCTGGAGGGGCCGACTCACGTCGTACCAGCGACGAGCGTGCCAAAGTGCCGAAAGACATGGAAGTGCATATGTGCCTTCCTCCCTCCCTCCCGTCCCAGACATCGAGCATCACGCCGTTTCGCGGCGTTGGCTCCTGGGCTTCTCGACCCATCCCAAAGCCAATGCGTCCTCCCTTACGTTTTACCCCTGACGGCCTCTCGGCGCAAAATGGGCCTTCAAAGGCCCGGCCAGACTGACGACAACCCCCGCCGTCTGGGCTCCCTCCATCCTCCGAACCACGGGTGCCACATACCTTTTGGCATGAAGCAGAAAGGTCCTGGTGGAAACGGGTCCCGGACCCTGGCACGCTCCTCAGGGCGAGCTCTTCAGCCTGCATAGTTTTCGTGGACGGCCCTGGGGCACAGGAGTCCCCGGGAACCGAAACCAGTGAAACACGTTCAGGACGCCTTCTCTCCAAGAGTCCCCTTGCTTGGCGCTGGTGCCTCCACTAGACGCCTCCCAAATGAGGTGTGAGTAGATGCGCGCCGCATCGCCGATGAATCGCCGATGTATCGGCGACGCATCGGCCACGTCGGCGATGCATCGGCGCCGTCGGCGTGGAGAAAATCGGGTTCCACAACGAGTCTTCCAGCCCCAACCCGCGCGGGCCACATCTGGGAGGCCTGGAGCTCCACCCTCCGAGCCAAATGTGGCCCACACCCTGGCACCGCTGCCGCACAGGCCAGCGCACTAGCCGGAGTCCTGCGGGCACGACCGTCGGGTCCGTACCCTTCTCCTCGCACACATCGCACGCAGCGAGCGCGGAACACCTCGGGAGGCGCGGGAGGGTGGTGGCGGCGGCGCGCAGCGCTGGCGAGGAGAGGCAGCGGGGAGGGGGCAACGGGGAGGCGACACTGGCACCATCGCTCCCGAATTTCGCTCGAACCCATTCGGAAGACGAAGACTTCTTCCGCGACGACTTCTTCCGGAATAACCTTCTTCCAGGAAAAATCGCCTGGGAGAAATGGTCTGCTGATATCGGTCGGCGCTCTTGCGCCAGATACAGTTTTACAACTATACGTGCATTCGCTTAAAGGCTGATCAGGTAGCGTTGTACACCCACAAGTAGCGCTGCACTCGCTCAGAGGATGATGTAATCGCATCGGTTTGATAGCTTCGTCGCAGGCGGCCCAACTAACCTAGCGCGCATCTTGGACGCATTCTGCACTTCGGCGACTTTTAACTTCTGACGCTGCCGGTATTTATCGGACTTACCATCTAACTTATGTACGACTTATCTTACTTATGGGACTTACTACGTAGCCCCAAAAATGCTCAGCGGGGGTTGCCTCACCCCCATATTCCAGGTCTCCCGTCGTCGTCGTCGTCGTCGTCCTCGTCCTCGTCGTCGTCGTCCTCGGCGTCGTCGTCGCTTTCGTCGTCGGTTTCGGAGGCGCCGCTTCTGGTCGCCAGCGTCGTCGTCGTCGTCGTTTTGTTTCAGCGGAAGCGCCGCTTCTGGTCGTCGGCGTTCGCTTCAGCGGAAGCGCCGCTGACCTGGTCGTCGTCGTCGTCGTCGCGTTCGTCGTTCGCACCCCCGCTCAACGTTTTCAAGGCTCGGGCTGGGGAGGGAGGGGGAGGTGGAGGAGGGGGGCAAGGAAAGAGGAGGAGGGGGAGGGGGAGGCGGAGGACACGCTCAACGAGGAGGAAGAGGAGGAGGACGAGGAGGTAAATTCTGAGCGTGTAGCTCTGCTCGAGCACCTGCGCTTCGCGCTCGAGGTCCTAGGAGTGGCCCGCGTGGTCGCGCGGCCTCACGGCGCAGCGAACGCTGCAGCGATGCGCTCAGCGCAACGTCTGCAGGGCCCGCCCGCGGCCGTCGCCCCGCGGGTTCCCCATGTCGAGCCAGCCCGCCTGGTCGCCCCACGCGTGAGACTGCACCCGCGACTGAGCCTCGTACCTGTACTTCTTATTCGGCACCACGCGGATCGACCTGCCCTTTCATGGCCGTGCCACTCGCCACCGTTCTTGAACAGCACCGTGGCCTTGAGCGGAACGTCCGCGAGCTTGGGGCCGCCGTTCTGGCTCGTGCCGCTGAGGCAATTGAACTGCGCGACCATCATGTCGTTCGGCCCGTAGCTCACGTAGCCGTGCAAATCGGTCAAGTTCGAACGAGACATGTACATGACGTAGTTGCGCTGATCGTCGATGTGCATCAGAGTCTCTCGATGCGGCGACGCGTCTGGCAATGGCTCGTTGATGTAGTCGTACACCGTCATGGCGCGCCGCGTAAACTCTGACAGCGGCACCGCCATGGCGACAGCTGGAGAGCCCACTGCAGGACAATTCGCAAACAGAGAGCGGCGGCCCCGCTGCTTGAGCCCACACTTGGCTACGGATGTACCCCTATACATCGGGGCACGTCCACCAACAGCTCAATGGTCAGAGGACGATGGCGGGAGGAAGGAGGAGGGGAGAGAGGAGGGGGCAGGAGAGGGGAAGAGAGGAGGAGGAACGCGGGGCGCCGTCTCATCAAAACGAGGACCCAACACCACAGGATGGTTGGGAAGAACTGCTCCTCTTCTCATCCCTCTTTCTCCTCGCCCCCCCCTCCCCTCGCCCCTCTTCATCTCGCCCCTCTCCTCGCACACGTTCCGTGGCCCCATGCGGGGCCCCGCCCAAGGTCCCAGTGGCGCAGCCCGCATGCGGCGCGCGCCCAATGTTGGCACACCCCTCGCACGTTTCGAGGCCCCATAAAGAGAGATCCACCCAAGGTCCCAGTGGCCCAGCCCGCATGCGGTGCGCGCCCCATTTTGGCACACCCCCCACACGTTTCGTGGCCCCATAGGGAGCTCCACTTTAGGCTACAGCGGCGCAGCCCGCATGCGGCACGCGCCAATTTTTGGCGCACCTCGCGCGCGCTTCGTGGCCCCATAGGGAGCTCCACCCAAGGTCCCAGTGACGCAGCCCGCATGCGGTACGCGCCTAATTTTGGCACGCCCCTCACACGTTTCGTGGCCCCACAGGGAGCTCCACCTATGGCCCCAGTCGCCCCAGTGGCGCAGCCCGCATGCGGTGCGCGCCCAATTTTGACACACCCCTCGCACGCTTCGTGGCCCCATAGGGAGCTCCACCCTAAGGTCCCAGCGACGCAGCCCGCATGCGGTACGCGCCCAAGTTTGGCACACCCCCCACACGTTTCGTGGCCCCATACGGAGCTCCAACGTAGGCTCCAATGGCGCAGCCCGCATGCGGTACGCGCCCAATTTTGGCGCACCCTTCACATGCTTCGTGGTCCCATAGGGAGATCCACCCAAGGTCCCAGTGGCCCAGCCCGCATGCGGTACGCGCCCAATTTTTGGCACACCCCTTACACGTTTCGTGGCCCCATCGGGAACTCCACTTTAGGCCCCAGTGGCGCGGCCCGCATGCGGTGCGCGCCCAAGTTTGGCACGCCCCTCACACGTTTCGTGGCCCCATAGGGAGCTCCACCCAAGATCCCAGCGGCGCAGCCCGCATGCGGTGCGCGCCCCATTTTGGCACACCCCTCACACGTTTCGCGGCCCCATAGGGAGCGCGGGCGAAGATGGTACTCACAATTGCGGTATTCACAACTGCATATGGTTGGGTCCTTCGCCAGGCTAATGTAACCAGAAAAACTGGCAAGGTCGTGCGCTCTCTAAACCAGCACCACATAGGCGTCCCCATCGCGGTGCCACGCGTGGGCCGCGTGAGCATCGCGCATGCTAACTGCCATCAACTCCAGCGAAAGCGAAAACCATCTGCTTGAGCGGGCGCGCCTGCCAGTGGGCAGCAGTTTCCTGACGACAACGCACGGCGCCCCACGTTCAAAGACGCAGGCCGACACGAGGCCAGCACCATCCCCGACCAAAACCACGTCGTGAACGTGCAACTCGCGACGATCCTCCCAGGCGCCATGACCCAACTCCACATTTGGATAGCCTGGCAATTCCTTTCTAGGCCCGCGAAGGCCCTCGCGGAGGGATTGCACACCATCGGTCAATTCATTATGGTACCTCGTCAGCAAGTTCGAAAGGACAGAGTACTCGTACCGCTCTGTGTTCCTGACGCTGTTCTCTGCGGACTGCTTGACGCGAATATTTAAGCGCTCAACAACGAACATGCCGACTACAAACTTGTCTTTCCAAATTTGATCTGGAATATGCAGCGTGGCGTGGTGCTCCGGAAGTAATTACCTCTTGCCGCATGCGGCTGCATGCCTATCCATGCGTATACGAAGAGCGGCCCTGAGCTCATTGAGAATGGCTGCGAGCCCAGGTCTGCGGGGCCCTCTTAGCCTCGGGGCCGAGGCCCAAGACAGCACATGCTGCGCTGAAAGACTCGTTCTCCCTCTCAAAGCCAGGGATGTCGAGCAGTCTGAATTCGACAAAATGCCGCATGATAACATACAAGGATATGTAACCACCTGCCGTGCACCGAATCTTCGACTCCTCCTCGGAGGATGCGGAAAATGCGTCGTAGACTTGGCTGATCTTGACGCCCATTGATAAGGGGGAATGTCCAATCAGCCTTCGCCAACTCACCCCACAGCTCGAACATAATTCACAGCTTGCTCTCGCGCGCCCTCACGTAAGCCGCGCGCTCCCAAGAAAATGCGCCATGTTGTAGATAATGGTGCACCCAGTCAGTGCGGATGATGTCAGATATGTCGAGGATGCCGCGCAACGCCTCAACTGCTAGAAGGCCCAGTGGGTTGGGGTTGAAGCCGACGCCCTGAATGAGCTCCTTGAAATCCCCAACGCCCATGGCCCCAGCGTCACGTCTCGCTTTCGCCGCCAAAACGACAGCCATATTTGCAACCATGTCCTCGCGATCACGCAACCGAAATTTCGAGAAATCTGACAAAGGTATATCGTAGCACCCTGGAATGAGATGTGAATTCTTCTCCCAACAACTGCCGCAAAAAAAATGCATGGCTTGTGGGAGCTTGCGCAAGTCCAGTCGAACGTCATCCTGTGGCCGTCGAGGTCTGTTAAACACCTTTCACCGCTGCGAACAGCAGGCGCGTTTGGCCGAGCACATTCAACGCCGCGCCCGCGCCTCTGAAGGACAGGGGGCCAAGCAGGATCTCACGCAGAAGTATTGCAAACAATCTGGACCACTTGCCCTCGACCTTGCCTTTTTTTTTTTGTGATCCCGAATCACAGCGAAGGGCGTCTAGGTTGCCTCGTGGCTCAGAGCTGATCCCCCGAGCTCTAAAACCTTGAAAGAAACAACCATGGTTTTTCGTTTGTGTGTCGGCCTTTTTTTGTCGCCAACCGTGTGCTCGTCTAAGCCGATGGCCATGCTCCAAGGCCTGTCAACCGAGCACGGGCGCATCGAGGAAGCATTCGAGAAACGCCTGCAACTCGCCCGAAGCAGCCGCCATCTCCTGGAGAACGAGCGCGGGCTGGCAAACCTCACATCGTCATGGTTCGCCATATGTCAAACGCAGATCGATGTCGAACCTCGCCCTCTCGAACAACTCGTGGTTTATAGTGCGAAGCTTCTTATCGCCGTCAGACTCGCAACCGAGTTTCGCGGCAATCCGCGCTAACCCATCCAGCGATATCCCGCCCGTGTGCAGCGCGGATTGCAGTCTCAAACGCTGCTGCGCTGCGTCGTGGGCCATGGAGCGGAAAATGCCGCTGCTACGGATGGGGGAGAGGGGGGGGCATGCCAATTCGGGGGGGGGAGGGGGGGGGGGGGTATGCCATAGGAGGGGGGGGGGAACATGCCAATTTGGGGGGGTGGACACAGGATATGCGCACCCATATGATTCAGTCAACCCCACCAACCCTCTGGGCGTAGGCGG